ACTGGTCGACAAATGCTCTAAAAATATTATTAAAAAAGTATTAGACAGACTGTAAAACCTATTGTAGTCAAAGAACCGCAGTACCTTCAATTGGTAGTGGAGCTATTTCTCGCAGGTAAAATGAAAGCAACTCTTGCTCCCCAACAAAAAAAAGTCAACACCTTCCGGCCTTTGAGGCTAGCACCTGGACGAACATAGCGATAAAAAGAATCACTCGCACTACGAGGCGGTGGCATGTGATACCACCCGTCCGAACGAAGCTCCCTCCATACAGTCTTAAAAATGTAGAGTTGCCAATCTTGTCTTCGCTCACTTATTGGGTAGCAACTGCGCTTTCTGCCGATGACTTCCCGTTCTTTTCGATGGACCAGCAAGCGCACTATCTTGCTTCGAGATCCCATACTGTCAGTCCAGGATAGAGAGAGAGAGAGAGAGAGAGAGAGAGAGAGAGAGAGATGGGAGAGGGTGGTTGTCAGGCTGTCGTCGAATTGTAGACAATAAAGTTTTACAGACGCATCAGCTTACAGTTGAAATATATCTGTCAAAAAAAAGTTTGATCACTTTCTGTTATCTATTCATTCATAAAATGCATGGATTAGTGGTAGTCCGAGTTGGATACAGACCTCGAATTTAAAGGAACATTTTAGCCAACCGCAACGAGGCAACCCTGACTACCTTTACAAGCCCGAATCCAAAGGGGAACTAATAACAAGCGATCTTGAGGGGTCACTGCGCGAAAATGCCAACGCGAAGTCGTAGGTACTGGATCCTAGCCGCCTTACGACGAGTATGGGCGAACAAACTGACGCTGATTGCTGACGATGGTGACTCCAGCGAGGAGGAAGAGGAGCAGGAGCTGATGATGCTGTACTTCGTGCTTAACTCCAAGCGGTATCTTTCACGCCGCGAGCGATTCGAGAGACCAGAGTTTCGGGTTGAATACTATCTTACAGGCATGTCGGACGAGAACTTCCGCCTCAATTTCCGGATGAACAGGCAGTATTTTACCGCTGTGTGCCAGCTCATCACCAACCATGACGTATTCCGCTCTGTGCCGGGTAAATAGCCTCGAATGGGCGTTGAAATCCACTTGATGGCCCTGTTAAAGATGCTTGGTTCTTTGGACGGCTACGGCCTATCAGCTGACTTCCTTTCGGTTGGCAGTCATACCCCAGCATCCCTGCTGGCTCGGCGAGCTATGGAGGCCTTACCCAGCTATAAGAACGCTGTTATATGCTGGCCTGACGCGGCAGAACGTCGTGAGCTTGCTGCAAGAATCGAGAATGTTTCAGGATTTCCTAGCTGTGTTGGATTAATCGACGGTACGATATTTCGTCCTCAAAAGCATGGAGAGGACTACTATTCGCAGAAGGCTTCGTACGTAATTAATGGATTGGTAGTCTCTGATGATAAGTGTCGTATTCGCTACGAAAATGTTGGGTGGCCCGGCTCCTCACACGACAACTGGGTGTGGCGTAATTGCGAACTTGCAAGGAACAGAGAGCATTACTTTAACATGAACGAGTATCTGCTCGGTGATTCCGTCTATCAGCCATCTAACGTGATGGTTTCTTCGTACAAGACAATTCGGGTGGTCAGCTATCGACAAAGGAGGAAGGCTTCAACTCGCAGCTTGCTAAAATCCGTATTCGTGTAGAGCATTGTATCGGCATGTTGAAAGAACGATTCCCGTTGCTTAAAGCTTTGCGGTGCAGACTCCGAAACAAAAAAAGAGATGCAATACACTATTCAGCTTATTCGGCCCGCAATGATTTTACACAATATGGCCATCGGTGACCCGATGCCTGACGACTGGGTTGTACGAGAGAGTGATGACGACGAATGGGCTGACAAACTGCCGCAGTCCTCGAGGAATAGTGATCAGCGCCGCGCTTATCTTCGCGACTCCATATTCGACCTCAAAAATTAGCCGGCAAATCTGGCTGACACGTCCATGGGATGTAGTGGTAGCATGAGGTCAACATCTTGCTGAGGAATTCCATCATCCTGCAGCTTTTTCCTGGCAAGTAGTAGTTGAACGACACTCTCGCGTTTTGCTTTCTCCAGTTGAATTTTCTTCAAGGCTAGATCGACGTCTGCCTGGGCTTGCTCTCGTAGATTTTTTGCCTCTTTCAAAGTCAGTTCTCTCTCCTTCAAAGCTTGCTTGCGTGCTTTGTTCTCGAAAGCACGTTCGTGCTGACTTTCACGAGATGCGAAGATTTTTGTCTGCTGCAGCAGCAGCTCTTCCACTGGGTCCATTTTGGCTGCTTGTTAGGTTCGTTGTCAGTTTGGAGCGCCATCGCCCGCTTTTCTCCACTTGTAGCGATGATACCGCGCTCCTCTATCTCATCAGAGGTCATCTCCGGACGGGCCGACGGGCGATCAGTCATGACGTCCTTCAACTCGTAGTAGTAAGCGCAACGTCGTAAGATTTCGGCGCGTAGAGTAGTCTCGTTTGTGATACCTTGCCCTGTGCACGCCAGAAAATCTTCAATTTTTCGAAACCCTGGCTCCAACTGGTTAATTATCTCCCTCATCCCAGCCGTATCTCGATGGAGCAGTTTGGCTTTGTGTAGATCTGCTACAATCTCCTTAAGGAGCGCCTCCTTCGTCTTTCCGTTGGTGCGATCAGATCCGCGCCATTTGTCGTAGTTACCCTGCGTTGTGAGCCAGTTTAGCACAAGTCGAATCGACGTCTTGCCCTCGATCACAGCATCTTTATCCCAGAAGACAGACTTCTTCTTCCCAGAGCGGTTTTTCGACCGGGGTTTGGCTGCAACGACGGTCTGAGCATTCCCCAGCTCGGAGAAGTTCTCTGCCTCCTCGGCAGACGCTACATATTGCACAGAGCCATCGCTGACCTTGCGGTTGTCGTCACGAGCCATGCTACTTCCGCGTGGTGATCGTCTAGCGTCTTTTAGACTGTCTTTTGGGATCCAAACGATCTTACCCCTGCTCTTGAGTTGGGGTAAGTTCTCTTGGAATCCAAGAGAGCCCTAGCCAATGAAAACGCGGCATGGACATTTTGATTGGGTAAAATTCTTTTGGATTCGCATCTGTATCCAACTCTGACTACCACTATTAGGCTACCTATTCCAAACAATTTTCAAATTTTTTACACGCATTGTATTGTATGTACTATAGATATATCGATGCGGAGCACTTTATGTCGCGAGAACTACATGGGTTTCATACTCGCCCACCGCACAGCCCATGTCATAGAATCACGGTGTAGAGGTCATACTACACAATATATAGGTAAGTGCCGATGCTAGTAGGATCATAAGGCTCCGTCTCTTTGGGGGTGGCTGTTGATCACAACAGAAACACTTGATCGCCTGCGCAAACAACGGCATAGCATTACTTTATCAAGACTTGTTATCAGCTGAGTAGACTGTCGCTACGTATAACTCCAACCAAACCGAAGATATGCCTACTAATTAACTCTGCAATGTG